TTTCTCTCTTTCTCTCTCTCTCTCTTTCTTTCCTTTCTCTCTCTCTCTTTCTAAGACTGTGTATCACAATATCCTTACTTTCAAAGTGCCATGTAATGCTATTCCCACATGACACTCAAGGGCAAAATGTCAGACAAGACTTCATATTCAAACAACAGTAAAATCTAACACACTGTAAATGCATTACTGTACCGTAAATACTATTTCATGATAGGATGATAAACATTTTTTTGCATAATTTCAAGTTTGCAATTGAAACAATTCTGTAGTACTTGAACTATAAAAAACATTCTAAGGCACAATATTCTAGTCACTTACAGTATCTACATAGAATTACTGAGTTGAAATAACACTGTTCCAATGACATTCATGAAGCAAAAATGCCCAAAATTCTGACAAAAAAACAGTAAATGGAAGGACCTTGATTGATTTTTTTTGGTATCACCCAGAAAATAAAGGACTAATCTTGGGGCTTGTTTCTGAAGTTTTAAATGCTCAAAGTATGAAAATTTAATACTGATTCAAATGTACTAATGTGGGACAATATGTGTCAATATCATACAGATTGCCTTATCAAATATTTCTAGTTTGCATTTTAAAGAGATGAATGCACAAAATAAAACCGCTGCAAAAGCTTCTGCACGTACAGTGTACAACAAGAATACAGCAAACAGTTTGAATCCAAGTCCCTGATGTAATATTGCAGCGTTATGTTTCCATCCATGTGTGCATCCATCCGTCCATCCATGCCCTAATGTCGCAGGAATTATTCCCCCTAATCTTTCTGGGTGTAAAATTACATTGAAAGAGAAGGCAGCAAATCGTGACCAAATTAAGACTAGTCAAGTGCCAAATTGGTTCAGGTATGTTGGAATTTTCAATCAGGGGAAATGCTAGTTCTCTGACATGACTTCCTTGGATAACTTCATGGAATGATGATTATTTTCCCCTATGGCTAGAACTGCTCTATAATATAATAATAACGAATCTTTATTTATTTGCATGTTTATGCCCATGGGGCATCAGAATGTGATGTTACATGTACATCGTACTGAGTAACATGATACATAGGATACAAGGATAACAGAATAACAGAATGACGTAAAAGTCTTAACAACTACTAGAGAATAAACTAAACTAGGCCTTAAGGATTTCTTTTTAAAGCAATTGGAGATAAGTTCACAAAGTTTTTCTATTGTATGGTCAATATATTGGATAGACAGGCCAACAAATTTGTGTTTTAACAGATTTGCATTTTATAATAATTAAAACTGCAGTTTTAACAAATTTTTAACACATTTTATAACAGTTAAAACCATTATGAAATGCAGAGTCAGTATATAGAGATGGAATCCATTAGTATAGCATCAAAGAAAAGTATTGTTTTACTTTTTGGATGTTTTAAGTATAACAGTTAGTTCTTCTATCATGCAATAAACCATAAGGACATCAGCATGGTTCAGGTTCAATCTACAAGGCCAAAGATTGAGGTTTATATTAATTTTGTAATTGATGTCATGTATGTATGTATGTAATGCTGTACCTTTTATGTAACACTATGTATCCTTGTATATACATGTATATACAGATACTAGTAAGGCCATGTTGATTTAATTATATGGATGGCATCCTCTGTGAACCCCAAAACTGATGCGAGCGTGCAAATAAATAAAAAAAGTCTGAAAAAAAAAGTTGCTTTCATTACGAAATCTACGTGGTCATGAAGGTGGAACAAATGACACAGAGTATGGCAAATAATCCACTCTTCAAATTCATTTCTTTACATTTTTGTCTTTTCGTTTGATTTTGGCATTTTAGGACATTGGTATGGTTTTCCAATATTTCTTTTTTGCAACTTACGGTACATATTTGCTCATTTTGTAATTGTTTTGTACCATTTACAGTATGGTTGAGAACTTTTTTGGAAATGGCCGAAAATTCATGCGCATGCGAATATCATCCATATTGCCCAATCAAAAAGATTCTGTGCCTCTTCCAGCTGAGCCACACCAAACATTCAATTACTGTACAGTTATAAAATTGATTTTAATTGCAGGTGTAAATTATTAGATAATGTTATTTGTGTATAACTATTTATTGTTGTTTTTCTATGTCATATGTCCAGGTATGTGTTAGGTGTGAACGCTATCAGCATACTTGCTGCCTAGTGCACACTTTGTATTGTCTTGTTACAATTTTGAATAAATAAATAAATAAATATCATCCATATGATCATATCAACATGGCACCTCCTCCATTGTGACCAAATTTGCATTTGTCATGGGGTTATGCAGCAGGAAGAGGGTTCAACTCGTTATGAACCTGTTATCTCCAAAATGCAAATCAGGCACTCTACCCCCCCCCCTCCCCAGGCTATTCCACTGGGTCTACAAACCTTTTTGAACTCAACAGTGAAAACCACTAACAGAAAGCGACATACCACCAGTAAAGGATTGATTTATTGCAAATGTTGGGAAATTCTCTCTGAACTTCCATTTGCTGTACAGTAGACATGGGCAATAACATGAGATAATTGAGATAGATGTACAGGGTATACAAGCTCAAATCCTGCGAGGGTTGTCACCGATTGTCATCTCAGATGTCACTGACCTTCCCGTGACCTCTGATGGAATCTAAAGGCCAGGGCACTGTCAAGGGCGTTCAACTGTCAGTCAAGGGTGACTGGAGCAGGAAATCTTGTTATCTTAGTCAGACCATGCCAATTTGATTAACTGGTTCATGCTTTTTTGTTTTAAAAAGTAATTCGTGCACGTCTTGCTGCTAGGTAGGAATGATTTTACATATTATTATTACTACGCGTATATTAATAATAATAATATGTAGCATGTTGTCACAATTTAAGGATGTCAACATTATTTCTGGTCTTGTATTTAACAGTAGATTTCTTTATTTTTCATATTTGTATAATGTCTGTACTTGTGGGTCATCTACTACCAGTTTCGACTGCCTTGTTTGACCCATATTCTGATATGTTGTCAGTTTCCAATAAAGTCAAGTAAAGTAAAGTAAAAAAAGGACTGAATGCAATAAATTCTCAGCATACAAACTAATTGACTAATATGAAATTATGATAGACTTGTAAAAGTAACATGTAAAAGTAACAATTACTTCAGCACCAAGGAAAGGGACATCATACTATGATAAGAACTAGACTTGCTGTTCAACAGACAGATTAAAACAGAAACAGCCTGAGAGTTATACCAAAGCGATAGATTTGCTGTGCAAGAGACAAGTATGTTTTGATTTAAATTATGTTCACATGCCTTTGTTCCACTAAGTATTGAGTGAGATCTCTTCTTTTGTAGTCATTATTTAATCATTTACATGTAATTGAAAGGAATCACATTTTGTTGAGCGTATATTGATTTGTTATTCATATTTTTGTTATTATTTATGTCAGTTCAAATATTTGTTTACTGTTTTATTACTTCAATTTTGTATTTGTTGGAAAGTACATCAATTATTACTTTCATTTCATACATATTATTTCTATTATTTGACCTCTGATCTCCAATTCCCTTTTTTTCTCTTTGATTGATTCTGTTTCAAGTTTGTTATAATTTCAGTATGATTTGTATGTTTTATTTAAGGGTTAATGTCCCGCCCCGAGG